CGCAGTCATGTCAGTGGATGTGGGTGTCCAAGGCACAACCACATGTTGAAATCAAAGAACAACCTTGGGTGTTAGACCTTGTCTTCCACCTTATTTTTATTATTATTATAATGTAAGTGCACCCATGTCATGCAGTGCCTGCAGAGATCAGAAGAGGGCATCGGATCCTCTGGAACTGGAGTTAGGACAGTTGTTTGCCACCATGTGGGTGCTGGGATTCAATCCCAGGTCCTCTACAAAAGCAGCCAGTACTCTTAACCACTGAGCTGTCTCTCAGAAACAGAGATAATGTTTTCTTGATTCAGTACTTCTAAAAGAAAATAAATAATAACTATGGACAATTAGGGCCTAAACTGTAGACTAACATTTTAAAAACATTGGGAAATGAGTTTGAAAAGTTTGCCATAGATGGCTAGATGAATTTTCCTTGTCACATTGCTTATTGTTTAATACCTTTGCTAGGCTCACTTTATTCTTTTTTAAAAATTTTTTTAGTTTTACTTTATGTGTAGTGCTTGCATGTATGTAAGTGCATCTGTGTCGTGCAGTGCGTGAAGAGGTCAGAAAAGGGTGTCAGATCCCTTGGAACTGGAACTACAGATGGTTGTTAGCTACCATGTGGGTGCTGGGAACTGAACATGGGTCCTCTGTAAGAGCAGTCGGTGCTCTTTTTTTTTTTTTTTTTTTTTTTTTTGTAGTCCCAGCTGACCTGGAACTCACTATGTAGACCAGGCTGACCTTGAACTCACAAAAATCTTCATGCCTCTGTTTCCTGAGTGCTGGGATTAAAGATGTGTACCACCACGTCTGGGAAGAGCAGTCAGTGCACTTAACCACTGAACCATCTCTCCAGCCCAGGCTCACTTTATTCTGTATAAATCTTCCCATTCTATAAACAATCCCCTTTTCACCATTCTTTGTCTTCTGTTGATTTATCCTTACATCTGTTATACTTTTTCAATTGTTATAACATGATAAAGATATAACTTTATATTGATTTTTCCTCATTTAATGGTATAAAAGGATTTGTGTTTGTTTTTCTAGGATTACCATATTAAGAGGCAGTTTAGGGGCAGAAATGTAACTCGGTTGAGTGCTTGCTTAGTGTGCACAAAACCCTGGGTTCAATCTCCAGCACCACACTAACTGTGGTGGCACATGTCTGTAATCTTATCACTTGGTGGTGATGATGTTTGTGTTTAAGTAGAAGGATCAGAAACTCAGGGTAATACTCAGCTACATAGAAAACTCAAGGCCGCCTATGCATGAGACCTTGCCTCAAAATAAGGTAATTTGTTCTATTTTTTTTGTAAACCACAATAACACAGATAGGGCCATCATGGGTTATATGGGTTTATGGTGTGTGTGTGTGTGTGTGTGTGTGTGTGTGTGTGTGTGTGTGTGTATCCTCCAATCCACAGTATTTATATCAAGATTTACAGTATTGCTAATTGTATTCTCTTCTAGAAGATGGGGACGCTGAAGGTATTTTGGTGAAATTCAAAGAACACCAAGACAGGCATTCTAAATCTATTGTAATCATCAATCACAAAAAACTAATTAAAGAGAGAAGTAATATTTATGGGAAAACACTTACACCAAGTAAGAACCATATTATTTCAAAAACATTATTTGAATATAAATCTGATGGAAAAGTTTTGAAGACTATCTCAGAATTGGTTAATAGGAATACAAACTCTATAAGAGAGAAGTTTGGTGACAGCAATGGATGGGAGAAATCAATTCTGAATAACAAGCATGAAAAAATTCACACTGCAGTGAGTTTCCATAGACAAATAGAAAAGGATCTTTGTGCTAAACAGGAGCTTACTCAGCATCAGAAGAGTCAGATCCCAGAGCAGCCATTTGAGTGTAATGAATGTGACAAATCCTTCCTTATGAAAGGAATGCTGTTTACCCATAATAGAGCTCACAGAGGAGAAAGAAACTTCGAATATAATGATGATAAGATTGCCTTCATAGAAAAGTCAGATCTTGGTCTCCACCCACATAATTTCATGGAAAAGAACCCCTCTTCATACAACAAATATGGGAAAATCCTTTGCAGAAAGTCTGTTTTTATTATGCATCCAAGATCACAAATGGAAGAGAAACCCTTTCAGTGTCCTTACTGTGGGAACAACTTTAGAAGGAAGTCATATCTTATTGAACATCAACGAATTCACACAGGTGAGAAACCCTATGTTTGCAACCAATGTGGCAAGGCCTTCCGTCAGAAGACAGCCCTGACTCTTCATGAAAAAACCCATATAGAAGGGAAACCCTATCTCTGTATTGACTGTGGTAAGTCCTTCCGCCAGAAGGCAACCCTCACTAGACATCACAAAACGCACACAGGGGAGAAAGCCTATGAATGTACTCAGTGTGGAAGCGCTTTTAGAAAGAAGTCATACCTCATCGATCATCAGAGAACCCACACAGGGGAGAAACCATATCAGTGCAATGAGTGTGGGAAGGCATTTATCCAGAAGACCACCCTCACTGTGCACCAGAGAACTCACACAGGAGAGAAGCCCTATATTTGTAATGTATGTGGGAAGTCCTTTTGCCAGAAGACAACTCTCACACTCCATCAGAGAATTCATACAGGGGAAAAACCATATATTTGTAATGAGTGTGGGAAGTCATTCCGCCAGAAGGCAATCCTTACTGTTCATTACAGGATACATACAGGGGAAAAATCGAATGGATGTCCCCAGTGTGGGAAAGCCTTTAGCAGGAAATCAAACCTCATTCGCCATCAGAAAACACACACAGGAGAGAAACCATATGAATGTAAGGAATGTGGAAAATTCTTCAGTTGCAAGTCAAATCTCATTGCCCACCAGAAAACCCACAAGGTGGAAACTATGAGAATTCAGTGAGTAGGGTGATTTTTTTGTAATAGTGTTCAGTGATTTAAGATTCTGTACCATACATTTACTGTTTGCTAACCTATAACATACACAAATACTACTGGATAAATTAAATGGCAAGAATATTTGAAAATAAAAGGTTAAATTTTTTATTATTAGATTCAGCAAACTAAACTGTCCTCTGTTAATTTGCTATAAACACTCAAATTTGCTTGCTTTCAGTTTCAGTATATACATTTCTTGTGACTCAGTAATAAGCCATTGGCCAATTGCAAGTGATCCATGGAAGAAAGGAAGTGTGTCTTGTTGCAAAAACAGAGTAAAAGTTAGTTGTTACCTCCTCAAAGTTAACCACTGTTTTGACTTCTGACATTGTAAGTTAGCTTTTGCATATTATGTCTTTATATCAATCAGATTATATATCACGAATTTTTTCATATACAGCTTGTTTCATTCCTCTTTGTCTCTGAGTCCAATCATGAGTGCATGGGGCAGAAGTTCATTTATCTTCATTCTGCATAGAATTCCAGTATATGAGTCTATCACTTTTACCCATTCTACTGGTGAACTTTTACACTGTTTACAGCCTAGGGTCATAATAAACAGTGGTTATGAGAACATACTTGGTTTTTGGCATACATGTATGCACTAGTTTGTGTATACCCATGGAGTGGAATTGGTGGATCTTAGAGCTTATGCATATTTAGTCAGCTTTGGTAGAGACTATCAAATACAGAGCTCAGAACTTTCACAGCATGAGATAATTACTCTGAAGAGAAACAATAATGAATATTGTCAATATGGTAGTTCAAACCACAAATTTTATGTTATAAAGAAGCTCTAGGAATATTACTGGGGAAAACAAGAATATAATTATAATGCATGCAGAAAGGCTTTTAGCCACAGCCCAAATCTTAATGTGATGCAAGAGAAGTGTAATAAATTCGGGGAGCCTTTAGCTACAGTTAGTATCGATTTGAAATATACTAGATAAAGAGAAGCAGTCAGCATTTCCTTCGTTCAACACTGGAGAACCTATGAGATTTACGTGCGTGTGCGTGTGTGCGTGTGTGTGCCATGGCATATGTATGGAGGCCAGAGACAACTTGGTAGAGTCAGTTCTCTCCTCCAGTCTTTATGTGGGTTCTGGAGGTCAAACTCAGATTTCCAGGCTTGTGCAGCAAGTCCCTGTACCCACTGTGCCATCTCACTCACCTGGATGGTTAGATTTTTTTATTAAATTTGAGTGTTTGATTACAGTCCCAGGGGATCCAACAGCCTGTCCTCTGCAGGTATTTCACGACACAGGTGCACTTACCTACATGCAGGCAATACATGCATATACATAAAATAAAAATAATAAAATTTTAAAAAAAGAACACATCTATGAGCTGAATATGGAAGCACATCCTGGTAGTCCTAGCATTTAGGAGGCTGAGGCAGGAGAATCCTAAATTCAAGGGCAGCGTGGACTATATAGTAAGTTTCAGACCAGCCTGTAATAAAACCAAACCCTGTCTCAAAATAAGACTGTAAAACCCTTAGCTAGGGTTGGAAATGGCTCAGTTGTTAAAGAGTACACTGCAGTTGCAGAGGACCCAGGTTCAGTCTCCAGCACCCATATGGTAGAGTTTGGGGGATCTGATACCCTCTTCTGATCTCCATGGGCTCCTGCACACAGGTGGTGCACATACATAGACTTAGGCACACATACGTATAAAATTAAATATTTCAGGGGCTAGAGAGATGGCTCAGGGGTTAAGCGCACTGGCTGTTCTTGCAGAAGACCCAGGTTCGAATCTCAGCACCCACATGGTGGCTGAGGGGTTACTTACAGGAGTCTGGGTTCTTCCCTTAAGGCCACACTGGAAAGGCCTCCCCCACACATCTACAGATGGAGCCTCCCTCCCTACCCTAGTCTTCCCCAGCCCATATACTCTAGCTTTGCCCCAAGGCCATGTGCAGTTAGGGTAGAATTGCCCACAATGGGTAGGAAGGAGTGGCTGGATGCTCAGGGGAGGGTCGGTTCCATGACCCTCCTGCCCTCCTGTGAGGGACAGTCAACAGTCAGCAGGCCCAGCTATGATAACGTTTTGCAAGCGAGCACAGCTGAACCTGTTGTTTGGCTCAGAGGACAGTCCAGCACACCAGAGACCTTACAATTTAGGCTGGAACTGCAAATGAACAAGACACCACTGCTGCCCACGAAACAACGTAGTGGGGAAACCGTCATCCCTTGGTGGGTTTTAATAACTACAGCCCACAAAGGACATCTAGCTAGTGAAGCCAGTGTTAATTAAAACAGGTTCTGTTTTCCAATTTTGCAGCTCATTATGCACCTGTCACTGTGGTGGTCCAACCTGACATCAGAGCAACGTCAGGTTAACTTGTGGACTCTTCTGTCTGCTCGTCATAGTTTTCAGAAATGGTGCTCACTTGATTGACGGGAAAGGCAGACTAGTTTGCAGCACTAAGTAAATGGACCTGCCCAAGGCTCCCTGCCTCCAGGGTCTCATCTGCAGACAGGCCAGCAGTGCGTGGGGCTGTGGTTCTTCACTTCATTTGTGTTTCCATTCAGGAGAACTATTTTTTTTGTCCAGGGCATTTGAGTGAGGTGTGATGTCAGCATCTTAGTGACAGCCTGTGCCTGCCTTCTCCTCCAGGATGCTTTCCTATTTATCAAAGAAGGAGGAAGCGTGGACGTTGGTCCCACTGTTCTACAGCGCCTTTGAGAAAATACGAAATATGAACCGGGTTTCAACTTTTGCAGAAATTGTAGTAACTCCTTAGCACGGAGGAAGTGTACAGTTTAAGAGAACGCTGCCTGACACTTTCAAGTGTCATTTTATTGTTGTTGGTCTTTTGAGACAGGGTCTCCCTCTAGTCCCAGATGGACTGGAACTCACTATGGAGAGACCAGGCTAACCTCCATCTTACAGAGAGATCTACCTGCCTCTGCCTCCTCTGCTGAGATTAAAGGCATGCACCACCATGCCCACTTCCAGTGTAATTTTCTTAAAACACAGCGAACAGAACTGAAAGAAAAGAAAAGCATTTGCTCTTCAATTGAAAAATTTGGATATATCTCTTCTTACAGAATTTCTTCAGACACAAAGCTGTTACACTCCCCCAGGTAGCAAATACAGATGCAAACACACAGCTGGTAAAATCCTTGTCTCTGGGCTTACACGTTACCTGGTTTCCAAGGACAACACCAAGGCGAGGCTGTCAGTTATCATGGTTACAGCCATCACTCACTCTGTATCCGGAAAGAGGTGCAGCTCATTTGCCCATGCTTACAGAAGGACACTTACGATGTAACCAGCAAACGAGGCTTCCAAGATCTGGATAAATTCATGGTAGGTCACTGCTGAGTCATGGCATCATGCCTAGTGTACCCTTGACCATCTTTCCTGAGGTCATTATAGAATGTGTCCTGTCTCTGACCACAGCTAAAAGCAGTTGGAGTCAGCTGGCCTGTCTCCCTGGCTAAGAAAGGTGATGCTTTTAGAAACAGAAAAATTCTCATGAAAACGGATGTCCTGAATGTGAGGTAAAGCAGAGTGTTGGTTTCCACTATGATTCTTGTGTAATTTGAAGTAAATAATTCTACAATAAATTAGGCCACCTCTAAGGTTTTCATATACTCAAGGTTTTTTTCTTATCTGTTTTCTAAAGTAATTGCTTAGTATAGAATTATTCTGTGGCTCTAATAGGGAACTGGAGAACTATCTGGTGCCGACCGGCCCACCAGGAAAAACGTCACTAAGGCAATTTGTTGTGATTTCCCCAAAGGGCCATCGTGAGTATTGAATGGCATTTACTGGGGAGTCCATTTGTGTTCAACCCAGTGTCACTCCAGGTAAGGACAAAACAATTTCCCTCAGGTCTAGCCTGGTGAACCAGTTAACTGGGGTTACTTACAGGAGCATTAGCTCTGACACCTTAATCTGCTGAATCAAAGAATGAGCTGAATTGCTTTTTTCATCATTATTTTTCTCCAATTACTTTAAATGTTTCCAACTATATTAACTTTCAAAAGATAGGGATTTCTAGTCCATGCTGGCCTCAGGCTCTCTTTGTATCTGAGGATGACCATAAACTTCTGGATCTTCTGGTCTCCAACTCCTGAATCCTAGGATTACATGTGTGTACCACCATGCCTACTTTATGTGGTGCTGGGGATCATGCATGCTAGGTAAGCACTGTACTAACTGAACGACATCCCCCTCCAAAATTCTTTTTTTTAATAGATTTTTTGGTCTTTTTGAGACAGGGTCTCCCTGTAGACCAGGCTGGCCTCAAACTCACAGAGATCCACCTGCCTCTGCCTCCCAAAGGCTTGTGCCACCATGCCTGGCTAAAATATATACGTTTTAAAATTTTATCTTTATTTTATGTGTTTTGCCTGCATGTATGTAAGTGTACCCATGCATGCAATGCCTGTGAAGGCCAGAAGGTGCTGGAGCCCCTAGAACTGGAGTTCACAGTATTTGTTAGCTACCATGTGGGTGCTGGGAACGAAAACAGGGTCCTCTGCAAGAGCAGCCAGTGCTCTTAACTGCTGAGCCATCTCTCCAGCCACTTCCTGCAAATATTCTTTCCATTAAATTTTATTGCATAATGATTAGGACTTACATGTTAAATTCTCCCTTTTGCAGTGGATCGTGAAATCTTGTGGGAAAGCAGCACAAAACAGGGCTGTTCATGAATTAGAGACACCCTGATTTTTCTTTGTATTAAAATGTATTTTTAATGGGGACTGGCCTTGTTAAAATCATTAGCTGAATTAACAATGATAGTAATAGCCATCTCTGAACTGACTTTCTTTTTGCCCCTGAATTTCTATAGTCTGTACCTTTGTTGGCATTAAGATCATCACTCTGGGAAAGAATCATGTTGATTTAAACCTGATTAAAACAGGTAACAGGCCCCATTGTCTTAGGGAGGCTTTTGAAGCTATCTTCAGCACGTGGAAACTCAGTGAAAATGTCCTCTGCCTTCTCTAGCTGAAGATGCATGGCAGGAAATTTTTGTATCATGGGTTTGTGACAGTTAATCTTGTCAACTGCATTGTGTCTAGAATCTAGAAGTGATGCTCTGGGCACATCAGTATGGGATTATCTAGATTAGTTTAGTTGAGGGGAAAG